CCATGGCAATGTGAATGTAATTGGGTTATGGCCATTGTTTTGTGTCCTCAAGTGCATACAAGGCCTTCAATTTCATCCAACACTTGGGCTCCAAGCATAAGCTATCCATCCTTAGCCCAATAGTGCTCCAAAAGGCCCCAAAACACTCCAAAATGCATCCTTTCGTCAAACACGTCTTATGATCCTGAAAACACACAAAAGAAGCATAAAGGACTAAAATAACTAAAGAAACATAACGTAAATGTACGAGAACAAGCCATTTAAGTCGCATGAATATGCTCCTATCAGAGATCTCCAATTTTGATGCAGATTCCCACTTGGACTTGGAATTAGATTCTTCTAGGAAAGGGAAATAAATCGGCTCTAAAGCCTATTTAAGCCTACCTTAAGTAGGGGATTAAATCAACTTTGGAGGGCAATTATTTATCCTTACAAGAAAGAAAGAAAGCTAGAGGATATTTATTCCCCTCCCCTAGCACTTTTCTTTGTTTGCCCATGCAATGAATCGTCTTCTGTTGATTTCTTTGTCTTCTTCTCGCCGCACCAATGTAAGAATGGTGCTGCCACGGGACAGCTGTCGGGGTGGTGCAGCACATTGACTGGTAGGGCTCAGGAGTCGGTGTGGCAAGGGCTACAACTTATGTTGCTTGGTTGGATTGAAACCAAAGGCTAGCTCGGCATGGGCTGAGGAAGTTGTGTGGCATGGGCCATGGTTTGGGCTGCCATGTTTGGGCTACTTGCCAAGAATGAGGGAACTACTTGAGTTTGATTTCTTAACTACCGTAGAAAGAACATATCAAGGACGGAGCTACCAAGATCAAAGCTGCTGAAGATGAAGTGTCGGATGAGTGAACTGTTGAGTACGAAGTGGCTGCTGCCCCTTAACCATTTGCTGCTTAGCTGGTCTTCGAGTATTCGATCTTTTGAGTTGTGTACCTTCTTGCACTAAAGAGCAATTAGTTTATTCTCTCGCACTGGAGAGCAAACCCAAATGGATGTCGGGGAATTAGTTTACCCTCTCGCACTGGAGAGTAATTAGTTTATCATCTTGCATTAGATAGTAGACCTAGATGGGTGTCGGGGAATTATTTTATCCTCTCGCATTGGAGAGCAATTAATTTACCTTCTCGCACTGGAGAGCAGACCCAAATGAGTATCGGGGAATTAGTTTACCTTCTCGCAGTGGAGAGCAATTGGTTTATCCTCGCGCACTTGAGAGCAGACTTGGATGGGTGTCGGGGAATTAGTTTACCCTCTCGCACTAGAGAGCAGACCCATATGGGTGTCGGGGAATTGGTTTACCCCTTCGCATTGGAGAGGATGAAAGTCGTTGTTGTGAGTGCAGTTGAGGAAAAATAGACTGCTAGACAACTGAAATAATCCCCAACATGTAAGGTCTTGTTCGGCAATCTGCTTGAGACTTCGTACTGCTTGTGGAACCCATGTAAAGGTGTACATTGGGAGCTCAGTAAGCTGCTCCCAAACTTTCTTCAAGTATTACGCCATCATTAGATGTTTCATCATGTGCCCTTTTGAGGCTTGGTTGGTGATCAGCTGAGAATTTGAATGGATTACAAGCATCTTCACCGCTAAGTCTTTCGCTAGCAGTAGCTACTAATAATGCCTTGTTTTATGCTCTGTCGTTGAATGATTTAAAGTTTGGAATGCCATGGGCTTAGTCGACGTGAGCCGCATAGCAAGATCGACAAAGCTGGGAGCCGTGGACCACTAAGTCCGTGATGCTCGGCTATTGGTGATGTGTTACTTTAGTATTGAATCATCTGGAGTGCTGAGAACAAGGCATGCCCCCGATTCTTGGTAGTTGGACTGGTGTGTCCTTCTAGTACTCGTCTGCCTTTTGCGCGCCAGTATTGACTAGTCGAGTGGCTGCTTGCTGGGACGTTGTTGGAGAGGTTCATCATCTTCCTTTGTCCTACTTCAGGACACCTCATTTGGGGCATGCAACAAGAGATGATTCACCAACGTAGTTTACTGTGCCAGAGTGCTTGTCAACTCTATGACTTATCGAGACAAGTGTTGTTCGCCATTTGTGGTGGAAGAGCTTAGACGGTATACATCTCCTTGAGTAGTGGAAGTGTAATGGACTCCGAGCGCGAGATTCGGGTTGGGATATGTCAAATCTACGGAGAAATGTGGAGAAAATACCCTTAGTTCAATAGTTGATTCAGAAATCTAAAGCCGGGACGATTGAACTGGTCTTAGATTGGTTGGGATTACTTAATGGGCCATGGGAGTGGGCTAGAAAGCGGAAACAGGTCGGGTCGAGGAATAGGATGGGCTGCGGAAGCATGCGTGCACTGAGTCTCCTCTCTCCTCTGTGCGGCTTGGGCCTACTGCTGTATGGTACGCGTCTGGGCTTGGCGTTACTCTGTGGCATGGGCCTAGGCGTGCTAAGCTGCTGCTACTGGCGTCTGGGCTTGGGTTTGCTCTTAGGCTTAGGCTGCTGAAATGGCAACAAGCTAGGCTGCTTCCAGGGCTTGCGCCTTTTGGGCCGTGGCCTGATGGTCCTGCTGCCATAGAGCTGGCCCTCTCCCTACTGCCATGGTGGTCCTCGTGGCTGCCTTGGTGGTGGTGCTCTGTGGTGGCAAAGTTTCTCCTTTTGCCATTGCGTTGAGCCTCGTACATCGTCATGGTGGGGTTATGTTTCATCCTCCATCATTTGATCGAGATCTTTGAACGTAGGAACTTCCGTTCGTCATGGTTTTCGAATTTCCCATTATTGTATTTTTCCTTTACCTTTATTCAAAGAATTAAAAAATTCTAGGAATAAGAAAGTATGAAAAATTTACGAACAAACGAGAGATGAGAAATTTTGAATGTGAGAGTCTTCTTCGAGCGTGTGAATCAAACTCTCAATGAAAGCACCAATTTATGGATGCAAATTTCCGACGTCTTCTCCCTTGATGAAAATGCACCTGCAAAATAATAACACCTAAGATTAAAGCCAAAAGCCTCACGCACCCACGATGAATTTTTTTTTTGGGGGGGGGGACCTTGGCCGAAGAATCTCCGATGCCAAAACTAGAAATTGAGAGAGAAAGTGTTTAGGAATTTTTGGAGAGAGAACGGCCTAGCATTTTAGTGGGAAAGTACAACTATTTATAGGGGAGTGACCGGCCCTGTTTGGAGAATAGGGGCTGGCCACATATGGCCAAATTGTCAGTGTAATTGCAATTAACTTGGCAATTAACCCCAAATTGAATAAGAAAATTGGGAGTTACTTTTTGAGTGAGGATTTGATGAGGAGTGATGAGAAGGTTTTGAATAAATATCATTTTGATCACCTTTGACTTTTTCTTGATTGAGTCGTTATTGTCTGTTACATGCGCGTGAGAATCCTGGTGTGCCTTGAGTGTAATTTTGTCCTTTTACCCAAAAGTATACGCGTCGCTTCCATAATTTTCTTGATTATTTTTTGCTCCACACCGCCAAATTAAAAGCATAAAGATTCTGGAACCCCATACCACCTTCCTGTTTGGCAATGCACAATTTATCCCATGCCCTCCAATGAATTTTCCTCAAGTCCAGATCACTACCCTACCAAAAACGGGCCATTAATTAATGCAACTCATCACAGAAGGTTTTCGGAGGCAAAAAACAATTCACAAGCAAAAATATTAAGGCTTTTTGACTTAGAGTTTTTTGTGTACATTTCCTACAACAAAAGAAAAGCAAAGCTAGTTTTCAAAAAAATAAATAAATAAAAAAATAAAAAAACAAAGCTCTCATTCTCTACATGGATCGCGCTGCAGTAGCGAGTGTAGATGATTAAAGGCTTGGGTTATATCCATCATTGATCGCACTGCACTATTGAGTGTCAATGATTAAATTATATGCTTGCTTGTCATTATAAATCTTCTGTTAAATCTTTACATTTCCCTTTATTTTAACGAAAAATCAAATTTTTACATTAAAAAGTCAATCCTGGTACTATTTATTTTACCCTCTATTTTGTCTTTATCGTTAAAACTCAAAGTTTTCAAGCCTTTTTCATTAGTTTTTCTTTTCATTTAACGTTTATTTAATGGAATAAACGAAAATAAGATGAAATTGCTCTATATTGGCCAGTTTCATGAGAAATGACAATTTCAAAGGGTAAATAATATATAAACCTTATAAGGAATAGGGGTTTTTTGAAATGGGTCCAAAGTAACTAAAAATTAGACCTATTTCAAAAGTCAAAAGTCACTAAAAATTGGACCTATTTCAAAAGGTAGTTTATAAAATTGGACCTATTTCAAATTTTCCCTAAGGAATAATGCTTCCATTCTCTCCTTGAGGGATAAACTCATTCTCCACTTGCAAATAACGTATATTTGCTATAGAAATTTCTTAATTGGGACCGTTGAATTTCTTGCAAAAACTTATTCGAAATGGAGATTATTTAGTTATCTAAATGTATCAATTAGAACGGTGTAGGTAAGAGTTTTTTCAGTATGTCTGGATGACTAAATGACGTTTCGAATGTTTTATTGTTAGGATGCTATTCAAATAAAGATTAAGAAATTAAGAAATTCCGATTATAAAATTTCTATGTTCAGAATACATTATTTGTGAGTGAAAAAACAAAAATATTATTCTTACAGTCTATTTTACTATCTATTTGTACAATTTCTCTAATAGAAATGAGATTCATACGTGTTGGTGAACTATACATTTATTAAAAAAATAATACAGATAAATAGTAAGTATGTCATTACTCGTAAAATGATGAGCACATCCGGTCAATGCAAAATGCAAGTATTATCCAATAAAATATTAGCTTTTGAAAATTTCAAGACTCACCTCCAAAAAAAAGAATGAGGATCCCTTTTGGATTTTTTTGTGATGATCTAGATGATCATTTAATCGCATTCGTTCATCGTAAATTGTGCAATCAATTTTATCAAGTATTATTTGTGTTTAATTTTAAATAAAAATTTTAAAATAATTTATAATCACAAAATTTATGATAGATGATGAATTAAAGGATTTTAGTTCAAAAAAAATATAAGCTTTTGAAAAATTCAGGATTCACCTCCAATGAAAGAGTGTCCGGACAATGAGAGCAGAGGGAGGGGAAGATGACCCTCTCACTCTGTTACTCTGCCACCACCGCCAAGATCAAGAAGATGCAGAGGACTGTAGTCTGATCAGACGCACGTGGCAGGAGTCAAAAGAGCTATGGCAAATAGCAGGCCCCTCCATCTTCAGCCGCATCGCCATGTTCTCCGTCACTGTCATCACCCAATCCTTCGCCGGCCACCTCAGTGACCTCGACCTCACCGCCATCTCCATCGTCACTACCGTTATCATTTCCATCAGTTTCGGTTTCATGGTAACACCATAACTCACCTACCTCAAATCTAACATCAATGGTCAATTCAAATCGTACAAATGAAACTACCCGGTTTCTAAATTTTGTTACTTTCAATGATTCAATCTCTGTTTGGTTTGTTTAGCTTGGCATGGCGAGCGCGCTGGAGACACTGTGTGGCCAGGCCTACGGAGCCAAACAGTACCATATGTTGGGCATACACATGCAGCGTTCTTGGGTAGTTTTGTTTTTGTGCTCTTTATTGCTATTGCCATTGTTTGTTTTTGCTACGCCATTGTTGAAGCTTATTGGGCAGACAGATGCGGTGGCGGAGCAGACCGGATTGGTGGCTCTGTGGTCGATTCCGTTTCACTTGAGCTTCCCATTTCAGATGACACTGCAGAGGTTCTTGCAGAGCCAGCTAAAGATGGGGGTAATAGCTTGGGTATCTGGTGGGGTTTTGGCACTCCATGTATTTGTTAGTTGGCTTTTTGTGCTTAAATTGGAGATTGGGATAGTGGGGACTATTCTTACTATTGGTTTTGCTTGGTGGGTATCGGTTGTGGCATTGTTTGCATATACCGTCTGTGGTGGGTGCCCTGAAACTTGGACTGGGTTTTCAGTTCAAGCTTTTTTGGGGCTGTGGGATTTCTTTAAGCTTGCTGTAGCTTCTGGTGTCATGCTCTTGTATGTGTTCTCTCTCTCTCTGTATGCCGCGCGTATGTATTTATAATGGATCGAAGTTCATTATGCACATTTTATGTTTCAGGTTAGAGAATTTCTACTATAGATGCTTGGTCATAATGTCTGGATTTATGAATAATGCTGAAATTTCAATTGAGGCTCTTTCCATCTGGTAAGTGTTTCTAACGTTCATTGACCCAAAATAGTATTTCTTTACCATCCAATTCTTATCTACCATGTTTAACTTTTCTTTTTCTTAGTGGTACTCCATTAGTTTGATTTTTCCATTTAATTTCATGCACAGAGTGCGTACATCTATCATTTATGTATTTGTTTCTGTAAATTCCATTATTCTCGTTTTGCAGCATGACTATCTATGCTTGGGAATCCATGATTCCGCTGGGATTTTTGGCAGCAACTGGGTATGTTACTGGTGATATTGTGAGCATGACTATCTCTGAATTTAGGAATTAGCTGAAATCTAGGGAAGTGGAGGAGATAAGATCTGTCCATACTTGTCTCTGGTTTTCATTTTAAATTTTTAGGATGAGTATCAGGAACATAGTTTCTTTTCCACATTATGCCCACTTCCAGCTCAGTATATACAACTATAATTTTTCCTCTATCAGTTTATGCAATGCATGACATTTTCCATAGCAACTGTGGACACAATACTGGTTCTTTCCCAGTGCAGTGACATGAAATAATTTGATGTTAGAAATTTTATTTTTAGGTAATAAGGTCACTCTACTTAGTATCACTGTGTTCCAAGTATCGTTTAGCTCTTGAATATTGTGTTTCTTCAGTAAACATTGTCATAAGTTGTTGATTATGAATTCTCTTTATGATCTACTAACAGAATAGAATTTTCACTTGTACTAATGTAAATGACAGCCGTTCTAATTATCAGAACAGTTCTATAGTATATGAACCTGCAGATTCACATGTTCCATTTACATACAATTGCGTCAGTTCAAGAAATCTAAATGAATATTACCTACTTGCTCCAGAGTGCGTGTAGCAAACGAACTTGGTGCCGGCAATGCCAAAGGTGCAAAATTTGCAACTACTGTTTCAGTCTTGACCTCCCTAGCGGTAGGACTTCTATTTTGGGTTACAGTACTAGCATTTAATAAGGAGCTTGCAATGATATTTACCTCAAGCATTCCGGTCATTGAAACAGGTCAATGACTTATCGCTGTTGCTGGCATTCACCATTCTTCTTAATTGCATTCAGCCAGCGCATTGAAGTTCTTCAAGGGCCGTTGGGGCTTGATCTTGAAGGTTGATGGATGAGCGGATCTTCAAGGGATTTTGGGCTTAATCTTGAAGAACGATTGGATGTGTGGATTTGTTGATGTTGTTGATCCAAAGGGCCGTTGGGGCTTGATCTTAGGATGGACGATGAACACTTTCTTCAAGGGTCGTCGGGGCTTGATCTTGAAGAATGGTTGTGTGGATTTCTTCAAGGGCTTTTGGGCTTGATCTTGAAGGAGGATTTGACGAAAAACGAAGAGTGCTTTCTTGATCCTTCGGGATTTTCTTGAGTGCTTTAGAACTTTAAGGCTTCAAGGTTTTGGTGTGTGTCTCTTCCTCTTGATGGAGAAGCCTATTTATAGGCTTTGAGAGTGAATCACCACCACAAAATTTTCCCACCCAAGCACTATTACCTAATTTTCCCACTTAATGCAATATTGAAATTGAAGTGGTTTAACAAATGGCCTAATTTTCCACTTAATGCAATATTGAAATTGAAGTGGTCTAACAAATGGCCTAATTTTCCACTTAATACAATTTTAAACTTGAAATGTGCTTACTTTGTCATTGCCCAAATGAGAAAAACTTGCTTTGATCCGTAATGGATTGAAATGTGCTTACCTTGTCATTGCCCAAATTGAGAAGAAAAACTTTGTTTAATCATCCAAGGGTATTTCTTCCTATTTTGTTGAGTCACATGCCATGTGTACAATTTGTATGACACGTGGTGTATGCCATGTATGTCCTGACACGTCAAAACTTTAATACGTTGGTGAACATTTGTTTCACCGAAATTTCAATGTCTACAAATGCCCCCACTTCAAGGCGCGTCGTAGACATGTGTTTGTCACGTGTAGAAGATGCGTTTTGAAGTCCCTTAATGTAGATGTCAACCCAAGGGCCGTCAAGGCTTGATCTTGAATTGGGCTGGAAATTTCTTCAAGGGCCATCGAGGCTTGATCTTGAGTTCGACTGGAAGATTTTCTGGTTTCCTCCAATCGTTGATTTTCCACAGGCTTAGTCTTGAACTGGGCTGGAGGATTCTTTTGGTCTCCCCCGAAGGCCTGAACTTACTCCTTTTATCTGGAGTTGAATTTGATTCAAGGGTGGTGAACACTTGAATTTGAATCGGACTTGTGATTTCTTCAAGGGCCATCGAGGCTTGATCTTGAGTGAAAATAGGACCATGAGGAGCTTCATGTGACAAGTGATCTTAGACTTTGTCGGGGATAAACTGACATGTGTTTGTTGTGCTTGTTTCCACATGCTTCAATGTATCATTTTCACTTGCCTTACTTGCTCCCCTTGCAGAAGTGGTATTTCCTTATGCAGGTTTGACATCTTCTCTTGTAGTATTTGTCCTCTGATACAGGAGTGGAATGCAAACCTTGCATTTGAATGGACCATCACTTCTTGGTGGCAGCGCAAGTTTGAGTGGAGGTTCCGACATATTGCTTTCTCTGTCCCTGTCTTGGCAGGTAAGAACAAGGACAAAGGAAAGGACAGGGAGATTACATGATATGAGATACTCTTGCTCTAGTCCCTGATGATATGAGATACTCTTGCTCTGGAAGACTTGGTTGAATAGGTGTTCTCAAGGGAAGAAGAAAACTGAGCATGTTGAGAGGTTTGGTTGCAGCTACATTCTCGGCCGAGAAGAAGAGTCATGCGTTTTTGGATGTATGCCTTGCCATGAATGTTGACATATATAGGAATTTTAATGGCAAGTAGTAGTGCGGATGCGGCTTTGTCACCCACGCTTGTCGGCAAAAGTGTGGTAGTTGGGATAATGACCTCCACGCGTTTTCAACTTTGTCAGAGATCTTTGACAAAGTTGCACGCGTTATCTGAAAAGCCGAGATTGTGTCTGAAGAGTGTTGACGAACTTTACGCAGGAAAATCCGGCTTTTAAGATTTGAAGAGTGGTGTCGCCTCTCCTTTTATAGAGGTATCGATCACCTCCAACATGCACACTTTGAAGATTGCCCATTTGTGAAAATCGTCTCCGGTGTATTTTGTTTTAACGGCCCTTTGAGATTTTACTCCATCCAACCCTTCTCTTTTAACATCTTTGAAAATGGCTAACCCATCTAACATTTGCTTAGATTTGAGTCTCAGCAGTGATACGGGTGCGTCGCGTCAGGGTAATATATAGTGCCCGTCTTTCTTATCTTCTAATGGCCCTCTTATAGGTGAAGACTCCGTGATGAAGGATGCAACAACAGCTACGATAGTAGCTAGGAACCTCCTCACTCCTAGAGATAGTAGGCTGCTTTCAAGACGGTCCGATGAGTTGGCCGTTCAAGAGTCCCTAGCTCTCAGTGTTCAGTGTGCAGGCTCTGTGTCCAACATGGGCCAACGCCTACTTGCTCGATCCCGTCAAGTTGAATCATTGATGGCGGAGGTGGAAAATCTTAAACAAGAGATCAAACAGCTTAAGCACGAGAATAGAGGTTTGCACGTGCTGTAATTATTCGACGAGCATGAAGAGGAAGCTTGATCAGCTGCAAGAATCTGAAGGTCGAATTCAAAGTGACCGTCAAAGGCTTGCAGCTTTCTTCCAGAGGCACCTTTTTCCTTCGTCATCTAGCGTTCAACCAAGTATTGAGGCCTCGAATGATCCATCTTCGATGCCTCCCGCTCCTGTAGTTTTGCCAAGTAGTGGGGCTTCACGTGAACAACCTTTGTGAAAGCTCCATCTTTTTTTTTTTTTTTTTTTTTTGTACGCACTTGTAATTTCTCGGAGATCAATGGACATGTTTTATTTTATTCAGTGTATTGTGCTAAATACAAATAAAACATATATATCACCAAGATGTGTTGTTTCCTTTCTTTTTTTTTTTTTTTCTTTTTTTTTCTTTTTTTTTTTTTTTTTTTTTTTCACTTTTGCAAGTGGTGTCGTGTACCTTCCTTCCTTTATTTTCTTCTTTGCAATAATTCTGTTGCCCTTTTTTTTTTTTTTTTTTTTTTGGGTGATTTTGATGATGATTTTGCCGTACACAGTTTATGCTCTTGCGGGCCAGGAGCGTTTGGTGCCATTTGCAGTTTCAACTCGTGTAGGCAATGAGCGTTTGGTGACGTTTGCAGTTTCAGCTCGTGCAAGCAAGGAGAGTTTGGTGCCGTTTGCAGTTTCAGCTCGTGCAGGCAAGGAGCGTTTGGTGCCGTTTGCAGTTTCAGCTCGTGCAGGCAAGGAGCGTTTGGTGCCGTTTGCAGTTTCAGCTCGTGCAGACAAGGAGCGTTTGGTGCCGTTTGCAGTTTCAGCTCGTGCAGGCAAGGAGCGTTTGGTGCCGTTTGCAGTTTCAGCTCGTGCAGGCAAGGAGCGTTTGGTGCCGTTTGCAGTTTCAGCTCGTGCAGACAAGGAGCGTTTGGTGCCGTTTTGCAGTTTCAGCTCGTGCAGGCAAGGAGCGTTTGGTGCCGTTTGCAGTTTCAGCTCGTGTAGGCAAGGAGCGTTTGGTTGTCACCTTTTAGGCTCGTGCGAACGAGGAGCTTTGGTTGTCGCCTTTTAGGCTCGTGCGAACGAGGAGCTTTTGGTTGTTGTTGTGGATTTGTCAAGCGATCTGGGAGAGGCGTTCCTCGCAATCTTCATAGGAATGAGCCTTGACCGAGTAATTGAAGAAGTCTTCTGGGAAGAGGTCGCACATTGTGATGGGGATGGACGATCTTTGTGTCGAAATTTCATTATCTCCAACACTTTCACATTGTTCTGGAGGTTGACAAGAGCTGTTTTGCCCCCCTTTTCGACTGATAAACTTGTGGACAAGATGTTTGCTGCTTGTCCAATTTCTTCAAAGCAATCTTCGAAAGGCATTCCTCACAATCTTCATAGCAAGGAGCCTTGATCGAGAAATTGAATAAGCTTTCGAGGAAGAAAAGATCCCGCATGAACGATCTTTGTGTTGAAATTTTCTTATCTTCAACATTTTCACATTGCTTTGGAGGTTGGCGAAAGCTGCTTTCCCTCCTTTCTGATTGGTGCACTTGTGGAGAAGACATATGTTTCTCGTGCAGTTTCTTCGGAATGACATGAGTCCAACCTTCAATTTCACTTGACTTGGAGCATGCGCCCAACAGTCGAGGTGAAGACTTTGAGTCGAAAGAGCCAGAAGTGACATCTTTCTTAGGGATTTCATCTTCAGTGCCGTCCTCTTGGGTTTGTTGGCATGAAGATTTGCCAGTGTGGACGATGATGCGCCTCCTTACCTTCAGTGGTTCTTTTGTGTCGACCTCTAGGATTGCTTGGCGCTTCATCCTTGAAGGAATCAAGCTTCGAACGTCGCATTTTTCTGCTAACCCATCGAACTTTTCTTCCTTTGGTGTTGTCTTCCTCTTTCCAAAAGGCTTCTCATTATCTTCAAATCTTTCCGAAGCTGATCGTTGCAGAGGAAAGATAGCTGTGTTGCTTTGTTTCTTAGGCTTTAACAACCTTTCAAAAACAGAGCTTTGGGATGTTGGTGTGTTAAGCCTCTTGAAGACAGAGGTTCGGTCTTGAATACCAATGCGATTAAGCACTGAAATTCTGGAGCTTGAATGGCTCATCCTATCGAAGACCGACGTCCGAGGGGCGGGTTTAGGCTTTTTTTGGTCTTGTTCAATGCTCACGCTGATGTGTTGAGCGCTAGCTTTCTTCACTTTGCTTGAAATCTTCACGGGTGCATTTGGTGTGAAGCCAAGTCCGGCTTTGTTGTTGTCAACTCCGTAACCATGCTCCTTCAACTTCTTTTGAGTTTTAGTGAGGTCACGATCTTTGTCGTTGACGGTGTTTGAAACCTTCTTTCCAAGATTTGAAGAGGAAGCAAAGCCATGCCTAGCCTTTGACATGAGTTCATAGGCATTTGGGTTGAAGCCTTCTTCGGTCCTTAGTTGGAAGAGAGCTTAGTTTCACTATGACACCATGTTGCGCCTCCAGACGGTTGATGAGTCTGGCAGTTTGCAAGTTTTTCTCATCTGCAGTCTTTATCAGCCTTGCAATTGTTTCCTTCATCTGAACCAGCTGTTTTTCAATGGAGGTAGTGCCGATGGTCATGACTTGTTCTTTGTTTGAAGCCATGGAGTGTGCTTGAATATCTTGAACG